TCTAAATTTTCCCATCCTTTTCCAATATCGTGCAAAGATTGTTTTTGGTAACAGAATTTGTTACATAATCTATATCTATTTCTTTATATGTTTACTAACTGCTTACTCAGGTGTATTTATATGACACTTGTTATCTCCGTTCTTTCTTGTCGCCAAATTATGATGAAAATGAAATGAATTTTAACAATTACATTGTATAAGATTTTCATATGATAAAATCGACTTTGGGGGCTATGCAGTTCTGTGAGTTTTAACATCTGTACGAACTCATGTAACTGCCACCAGTCGGGATACAGAATAGCTCCATCACCCCTAAAACTGCCTGAGGCTGCCCCTCCATAATAAACTCTCCTCGATCCTAATCCTTGGCAACCGCTAACTTGTTCTCCGTTCCTATAATGTGCCTTTTCCAGAAAGTTAAATAAATGGAATCATGCAGCATTTAATCTGTGGATACTGGCCTCTTTCACTCAGTAAAATGACTTTGAGATTCTGACAAGTGGCTGCATCTGTTGATTGTCCCTTTTTACTGCTGAGCAGTATTCCATCGTATGGATATACCACAGTGTGTTTATCCATTTACCCTTTGTAGGGCATTTGGACGGTTTCCAGTTTGGGGCAGTTATGAATAAAGCTGCTCTGAACATTTTTGTACCTACCTGTTTTTGTGTGCGCATAAGCATCTATTTCTTTAGCTAAATCCCCAGAAATGGGATTGGTGGGTCATATGTTAAGTGTGTATGCGTAACTTTTTAAGAACCCACCAAGCTGTTTGCTAGAATGGCAGTGTTTTGCATTCCCACCAGCAGTGTATAAACTTTTAAAAACTTGAACGCTGTTTTGAATGCTCTGGAGTTGAGGTTGGCAAATCGTGTTTCACAGTTCCTTGGGGTTTTGAAGAGATGCCCCATGACAAAGGGAGAGTTCTAGGTCTTCCTTAGCAGCTTCAAAGAGAACTGATCCAGTTTTGTTTTGTTTATGTGTTGAGTTCCATGTAAAAATACATTTGGGGAGAGAAGAGGTCTGTCTGTAGTGTGGGCAAACCATTGTAGTAAGGTGGTGCGCCTAGAGCTTGGGATGTGGACCACGGGTGTTCCCCAGGGGGACGCTAGGGGGCGCCGCACTGGGAGAAAGTGGACTCCCTCTTCAGCTCCTTTTCAGTCTGTGTCTTTGGGTCAGGAGGTCTTCACCTCTTTAATATTCACTAACGCTTGTTAATGGCATCATTTACGACAGCCCGGGCTTCCTCTCAGAACCTTCAACAAGCAACTTCTATCTCGAACAAAGTCAACGTGTGGCTCTGTTTTTTAATGTTAATTTTATGGTTATCTTTTCATCGATGCCAAGTACCATGGTTTTTCCATTTTTCTTTTGAAGTGAATTTATATTATACTTTAAGGTCTGGGTCATTGAAAATAAAAATATCAAATATTGTGTGCCTTACACTCAAGCATGACAAGAATTATGGGACTGTGCCAGCATGGCTGAAGTTGGGGAGACTTTACACTGCGGGGGAGGGGCCTATTTATTTAAACAGAGCTTGAAGTGAATCCTTTTGTCAAGTTAACAGAGCATGTTGGTAAAGCACGTAACTTGTCTCTTAATTTATTTGATGAGTTTATACATTTATATAATAGTAAAGCCTTAAAAGACAATCTTCTCTTGCTCTTTGTTTTTGCAGTACTTCTTTTTTCAAGTTCCTTCTTTATTTCCTGATTTGACAAATCATCATTAAAAATCATTAGACAAGCTCTGGGGTGCAGTAGTAAAGCAAACACACAGGGTCCCAGGGCTTGTGAAACTTTCTTAAATCTTTTCTCCTTCCGCCTCTTAGAGACTGACCAGGGAAAACAAGGGCTTCAGGATAAAATTTAAATGACGCAAAAGGCAAAGGAGAGATAAATGGCTCTTTAAAAAAGTAACTTGAATCAGTCACATAGAGAATTAATTTTATTTTATTTATGTCTTTGGAGCCCATTTAGATGCATACTGTGTCTTCTATTTGAAACATTTTTGCTTATTATTTTGATAAAATAATATGGATCTGCAGACATAATGATATACTCGGTGACTTTTTGAGGTTCCTTCCAGCTTTAAGTACACAAGGTAGGGCAGCACAGAAAAGAAGCAATGTTGTTGTCAAAATACCCACTGAGGCCAGGACCTCTCTGGAGTTAGACAACTTTTACATCAGAGGTCACAAAGTAGCGGCTGCCTGAGTTCCATCTAGTTGTTAGCATTTCTTGTTTAGCCACATGGCATTTAAAAAGTGAAAAGAAGGGGATGATGCCTGGGTGGCTCAGTCAGTTGAGCGTCCAACTTCAGTTCAGATCATGATCTCACAATTCATGGGTTCAAGCCCCACATCGGGCTCCGTGCTGACAGCTAGCTCAGAGCCTGGAGCCTGCTTCAGATTCTGTCTGTCTGTCTCTCTCTCTCTCTGCCTCTTCCCCACTTGCGCTCTGTTTCTCTCTCTCTCAAAAATGAATAAACATTTAAAATTTTTTAATAAAAAATAAATTTAAAAAAGTAGTTTCCAACATTTAAAAACCAGGGGCTTTCACATTTAAAAAAAATCAAAACAGATTTCTCATTTTGAAAATTCCGGAGTCTGACACCATGGAGGCAGCCTCTCTGAATGGCCGAGTTGGCTTATGCTGAAAAGTGACTGCCTTTTTGCACAGAGCAGGTGCTCTCATCAGGTAATCTTGCCTAAATCCTTCATGGTACCTTTGCGGCTCTGGTGGGTATTTGAATCTGCAGCTCCTGCTTTAGCCAGGGCTTCAGACAGGAGAGGCATCTAGAGAAAATGAGCATGCCTCCCTGTGTGGGAGGGCTGAACATGTCATTGCCTGCAAAGCTCACGGAGTTTCCAACGGGGTATATCATCTGGTGTAGTAGATGGAACTCTGGACCCTGGAGGCAGTGATCAGGGTCATTTTGGTGGTGGGAGGCCAGTCACGTGACCTTGGATCCTTTGACAATGGAGTTACTCTCTCCTGTCTTATCTCTTTGTATCAGTTAGGCTTTTTGACTGTAAGCAACAGAAACAGATTCTTGTGAATTGAAGGAAGACGGAATGTGGTTGAAAGGACAGTGGATAACTCAAGGTTCCAAAAGAGGAATGATCTCTACTCAGAAAGTTCAGGAAACCAGGAACAGTTGACCATGGGCGGTAGGAACTAAGGAAATTGATAAATTGCCTCCAAAATTTTCCCCTCTCTTTGTCCTTCTCCTTAAGTGTCTGAAGTCCTGGAAAAGGTTATCAGGTTGGCCTGGGCCACATCCTTGATGGGAGAGAGTGGGACACTCTCGCTGCCAGTCCCTCTGAGACGGCATACAATAGAAGAGGAGGTTTGTGTTGTCACAGAAATAGAGGGACCTGGTACGGAGAGAAGGCAGCCAGACGACAAATGTTCACTCCACCCTTTCTCACGGTTGTCTTGAAGGCATTCAGTCCACACTGTGAGTCGCTATAGATGAACAAGGAAGTGGCAGTTCAAGTCACGCGACAAAACCGTGAGCGTGCTAAGTAAGTGAAGGCATTGGCATCAGTTAGATAAGGAATATGCACAGAGAGACTGGTGCAAAGAAGAAATAGTCTCATTCCTTTTAGCAGTTGCTTTGGTTACAACATCTCCAAAGAAACGACGCTAACTTTAAGTGAAAAACATTTATAAATTCTCAAGAATTCTACTCTGGTTATATGGAGAGAAATACTGGCAATGAAAAGTTCTCTCATTAAAACTCAAAAGGCATTTGTTCACTCAAATTTCAGGTGCCAGTAGAATACACTCTATTGTTTTCTTCATTGTTTTTTATAATGTTACATGAATTTGCGCATTTAAAATAAATGCGTATAAAACAAGCAAACAGGAGCAAGTTGTAGATAAAATTGAAGCAACACTTCCAAATTGGAGTTTTGATGTAATGCCCCTTCTTAGAGTGATGTGCCAAGGCTTCAACTCTTTCTTTCTTTCTTTCTTTCTTTTTTTTAATGTTTATTTATATTTGAGAGAGAAACAGAGCATGAGCTCGGGAGGGGCAGAGAAAGAGGAAGACACAGAATCCAAAGCAGGTTCCAGGCTCTGAGCTGTCAGCACAGAGCTCAACGCAGGGCTCAAACCCACAAACCATGAGATCATGACCTGAGCCGAAGCCAGGCACCCCGGGCTTCAACTCTTTCTAAAATCAACACCCAGCATTTTCAACACTAGCTAGAAGCTTGAGTGTTCTTGTACTCACCTGTGAGCCTAATTTCTTTTAAGGACCATAGCCATGACCGTAGAAATCGACGATTCTTCCTCAAATTACAGGTCGGCTGTGCCCAAGCATCCCTCCCTGTACATAGTATTTGAAACACGTAGTAGATTTTTAAAGCTGGAAAGATTCATCGAGAATGAATTTGATTTTTGTGCTCTTATTGTTTTTTTCTTTGCAAGATCTTGATGTGCAACAAGCAAGGAAAATGAGTGAACCAAAAAAAAAAAGAAAAGAAAGAAAGAAAGAAAGAAAAAGAAAAAAGAAAAATTTGCTGGCATGGCTGGAAACAGAAATTAATGATTCAAATGCGAGAGGCAGTGCAGAAATTCTCATCTGGGTGGCAGGAGACAGGGAGCGAAAGTCAGAGACTGCTCTTTTTTAAAAGGCAAAACAAACAGTTCACAGTGAAGTGTACGTGAAAATCATTTCTAATAATAGCTCATGGGAGGCCGTTCCCAGGAAAAAGACCTTTGGTGCACCGAGGAAATTGAGTGAGAACACACAGGTTCTCAATGTGTTACTTAAGGCAACGGGGCTTTTGGAGTCTACCTTATGTGCCTTGTACATTGATTAAACACAAAATATATGCTGGCCATTTTTGACCATCATTTACTGTATTGATTTGTTAGCAGGGGAACTATAATAAAAAAGCCATTGATTTACTGTCCTTATTTGCTTATGGGCTTTTTTTATTATTAATTTTTCACGTTTCCTCTTTTCTGGACCATTTCTTCTAGACAAATGCTGTGCTTCGTGAAGTTAGAAGGGAAGGGGTCCCCGTGGAACAAAGGAATGACATCTTGACTGCCATCCTTGCCGCGCTCACCACTCGCCAGAATCTGAGGAGGGAGTGGCACACCAGGTCAGTTCTGCTTCCCAGATGGGATTTGTGGCCCCTGAAAACCAAAGCCCTTTCTTCTACCGCTGGCCTCATCCCTCTCATTTGAGGAGCGGTGAACAATAAGCAGGTTGCAGATGCTTTCAGCCAAAGTTAGCTCTCCTGCTCATGGTGCCTTTCATGAGTTGGTTATGAGCCATGATGTCATCTGTAGGCATATAGGATTTATCCCTGAGTGCAGCATTTAGCATAAAGGTTTGCATCTTGGGCATAATATAATAGAAGTACCTGACGCTGAATAGAAGCACCCTTTTAATCAACAGTCTAGAAGACCAACCTTGCGATTTGGGAATATGGGAAATTCACATAGTGCTCTCACATCACTCATTGAGAGGCAGCTTGCATGAAGGTGGTCTGTTTATTGACTCCAGCTTTGGGATTGGCCAAGTAGGAATTATGTTGGCTTCAACCTACTTCCTTTGCTCATGGATCTACCTGGGGTTAGAAAGCTGTTCTCAGTAGAAAGTTTCTACAAATCATCCGTTTTCACAGAATTGATGCTTGTGTACAACAGATCCTGTTATCCTGCTCTTATTTGAAAAACGGTTGATGGGTGGAAGACTGGACCCACTTCCCCCAAATGTTAGGGTTACCCTTTGAGATCTGCAGTTGGTAAAAATTGTTGAATTATCATCTGTCTCTCAGCAATAGAGAGAGGCACCAGGGAGATCATGCTGTATTTTGTCTCAGAGTCTTATTTGATGCTGAAAAATCCTGTGTGCCTGGGAGTCAAGAACATTGATAGACAGTATTCTCCAAATGGATTCATGCCACAGAATTTGTAATAATTGATGGCTTTACTAGTAACGCTTATCATAAAAATAGGTTGGTCTGAACAACACTGCAGATAAGCATTTTCTAAGAAGGGAGACAGTAAAGAGCATGAACTGGCCATCCCAGCTGGGTATTGGAAAGCTGCTTGTCAAGTATGTGCATTCTCTCTAAATGCAGACTTGCATTAAAACAAGAATTTTAATATTCACCGTGATACTCTCCCTCTCCCCTCTGTTTCGTAGTGTGGTCAGATCAGAGTAAACGACAGTTTCAGCAACAGTCATTAAATGATCTCCAGTTAAACTTCGCTTGTATTCCAGTTTAAGCATATATATTCATTAAAGCATGCATATTTTATTAAATAATGGAATATCCATGCAGGGACATCTGAATGGTGTCTCTCTCTCTCTGTTTAACCTTATATATATATTTCCCCCTAGTGATTCTTATTAAATGGGAAAGAGAGAAAGAAAGAGAGAATTTCCCTGTAACCTTTCTCCCACCCCTTCTTCCTATTCCATCCCTCCCAAGACAGCAGAGCTCAGAGACCAAATGTTGAGGCTGGATGTCTTCTGTTGAGTGCATTTGGTTTGTTAACAATAATTTCCTAGTTCACCAAATCATCAGACAGCAGGGCCAAGATGGCCTGTTTCAGAGGAGTCTGGTTTCAGCATTTCTGGCCCTTCCTGCTAACAATTTAATCAGGAGCTGGAGCCAGTGTTGAAGTTGATGTAGTCTAGCATCTGAAACAAAAATTCTCAAGTCCTTTGTGGCAGGGGAGGAGAAAAGAAAGAGCTTAGCAGCTGACACTGTGCAGACCTCCTTCAAGCTAAACACCTGAAAGAAAATTTCAAGAGGGTCATGTCTTGAGAGTTCAGAAGGAAAAGTGTCTTCAGAGTATTAAATAACCATAATCCTCCCCCCCCACCCCTCCGCCGCCCCCATTTGATGTTTCCCATCCCAGTGACCTATCTAAAAGACTCATCCATTCGCTCTGTATAAACAGACTGTTCCCATACGCCTCCCTTTTCCTCATCAAAGCTTCCTCTGGCCGTCTGGAGTCGGGCACTGCCCTGAGTAGCCATCAGGCTGGTGGTGGGGAAAGTCACAGAGCATCCGCTGCTGGGTTAACCCAGCCGTCTGTGTCATAGACATCGGCCCATTGCGCGCTTTGGAATCGCACGAGGAAAAATGCGCTTTGACAGAAAAGAATTAGCGCTCGCCAAAGGCCAAGCAATAGGTTATAGTATTTTACTTTCATCAAAGCTATCAGGGGATCAGTTAGATTAGATAATAGAAATTTTTTTCCTCTGGAAGTTAAGTACAGATGACTCTAATTACCTTATATTGCACGTTAGAGAACGCGTGATGAATACCACAGCTTCCAGGAAATGTGGATGGGCGGCGACCCCGCAGCCGACAGTGACTTTAGTAGAAGTGTGTTGTCATAAAGGTTCCCCCCCTTCACCGGCACCCCCCCCACCCCCACCCCCCCCGTGCCTTCCGCCGGTTCCTTTGCAGTCATGATGTTAGGGAGACTATTTTTAAGCAAAACTCGTAAGTAGGTTTTAAAATATTTGTATCTCTCCCCGGCCAGGAGCCGAGCCATTGTTTGGGACTCCCTGAAGTCTTAAGCCGAAAGCATATGTTCCCTGTGATTTAGCTTTTTGAGGAAAGTGTCAATTCTGCGTGACTCGGGGTAACCGAGTTTGTCACAGTGTCACACGACCCTACGATTCCAGAGGCACATCTGAATGCTGCGGGTTTCCTTCCCGAAGCTCCGTAATCCCATAAACAACCCTCTCCAAATAGGCTTATTAGGGCTGTCTACTTACTTCCCCCGAGCTGACTGATCCAAAGTACATCAGGAGAAGCTGTGTGAATGCAGGGTAAGTGTTAACAGAAGCGGTACAGAATTTCTGAAGATTTGGCTTTGTTTATACAGTCCACTCTGCCTGACGGACAGCTTGTTATAGCTTTTAAAGAACTGGGCAAGCCCTCTGATCTGACCCCTTCTTGACCTCCACAGCCCAAAGGTCGGTCTGCAGCTAATAAACTCGGAGGTTCTTAGGCTCTACTCTAGGAGAAGGCAGGAAGAGAGCAGCTGCAGGGACTGGGTGTCCCAGGATGGGCTGCTTTCGGGTCACTCTCCGATAATGAAAATGATTACCAAATTATATGGAAGTTTAACCGCAATAGTGAGTGAGGGGAGGGTGGGGCCCCGCGTATTAGGTTTGATAAATGAACTGTGAAGAGACCCATCTGGCTCTCAACATCTTTTCTCCCCCTCTTTCCCTACCAAGGGGAAACATTTTAAAATAACAGCAGTACATATAGACTCAATGACCCATGCAAGGAGCTGGAATGGATTAAGATTTAATGGTGACAGTGGAAGAAATTATCATTTGAAAAGTGCGCTCAAGAAAAGGTACAGTTCCGTGGCTGTGCCCGGCTTGTTTTTCTAAATAAAACACAGCAAAGAATCGGTGCCTTTGTTTATGTGCCACAAATCCCCAGCGCCTTTCCTAGATGGGTGAGAAATTTGAGGGCATGTTGACCATGGAGTAATTATCTGTAAGTCCGCTGAAGGAAAGGAATGGGAATCCTTTGCCTCGGACGTGTCGGAATGAGAATCAGATATTTTATTTCAGCTTGCTTGCTCAGTCGAAAGAATGTGAGTAAATCAAGTGTTAGAGCAAACGTTCTCAAAAAGAATAGATCGTGATACACTTCAGCCTCTGGCCACTGAACATTATGCATTTTCGGATACTGAATATACTTGTCGCTTTCGGACACCGTTTTTTTGTTACCACAACTTTGCAGATTTTTTTTTTCTGTAAAAGGAAGACGAAAACACGTAACGTTAATTGAGTAGATAGGTCCGTTCCTGTCTGTAGTCCTCTTTCAGAGAACCATCAGAGTGATACTAATTATTGCCAACAGTGGGTGGGTCACAAGCCGTATGTTTGCTTACTATTAGTTGGTAAGAGTAGTCTATTCTCCCAGCTCTCTGTGAATATCGAATGTCCCCGTTTCCGACCGATGATGTTGGAGTGGACTGAGCCCGTGAGTCTGTGTTCTGAAAAAAGAATGTTTATTTCATAAGCATTTTTGGATGTTTCGTATACCTCCCATACACAGTACACTGCCTGAGATGCTGTGCCCGAGAGAATGTGTCCGGCAGCCAGTTTAGGATTGTACCTGGGGGTGAGGTTCTAGCAAGTTCCCAGAAAGGGGCTGTGGAGGGCAGCGAAAAGGATGGCGGTGGCTCCATCATTACCGCAACAGAGGGCCAAGTTGCTCCGACCCACTCAGGCGAGCACTTCACTGGAGAAGTTTTCGACGACTAGAATTGCTGCGCTGTTGAAAAAGCCCTCTCACGTTGAACTACACAGTCTATATATACAAGTCTCGCCTGGACAATAATTATATTTCAAATAGAAACCAAGAAGCTTCTACACGTTAGCCAAATCGGCGTCATGTTCCATCTTAGATTTTGACTCGACTGTGTCTGTCCGTGGGGATTCATAGTGAGCCGAGAGCTAGGTGAAGGCCACCACAGGGAGCTGAGGAACACTTGTACAATTAACTGTGCTTCCTAACTTTGAACAGTGCCTTTACATTTTTGCTAAGTAAGATGCACAGACAAAAACATAAGACGAAAGCCAGGCCATTAGGGCTTTTTTTTTTCAATTGAGATATAATTCACAAAATATAAAATTTCACTTAGCATAAAATTAATCATTTTAAAGTGTACAGTTAGGTGTTTTTTTGTTTTGTTGTATTTTTGTGCTTTTTTTTTTTAGTGTATTCACAATATTGTGCAACCATCACCATCATCCAATTCCAGAGCATTTCCATAGCCCCTGAATGAACCCCTGGGTCAGTTGACAGCCCCTCTCAATCCCGCCTTCTCCCTGCAGTCCCTGGTAATCACTGACCGACCCTCTGTCTCTGTGGATTCGCCTGTACCGACATTTCGTGTAAATGGAATCACGCAATATTGTGGCCTTTCATATCTGGCTTCTTTCACTTAGCATCATGCTTTCAAAGTTGATCCATGTTGTAGCATATCTGTTCCCTGTCCCTTTTTACTGCCAAGTAATATTCCACCATGTGGAGAGACCACATTTTGTTTATCCATTCATCAGGTGATGGACACTTGGGTTGTTCCCACCCCGCTCGGTGGC